TGGGACTCTAATCAATTGCAGGATGTTTTGTTCTTGGTGCAAATATTGACCCCCTGCACACAGCCACCAACAGGAGGAAGGATGTGTTAAAGGAAGATAAGCAACAGTTCTTACACTTCTGAGTGTGAAAACTGGGGAGGGGAAAATAAAAATACTATTCACCATTAACACAAATCCAACTTTGGCCACAGAAAAATGGCAGAACTGCTCCTGAGATACAGAGGAAGGCCTGAACTCCTCACAAGCCAGAAGGGCCCTTCTCCTTGGGCAGTGGTACAGTGCAGTTCTTTTTCCCCCCAGTGTAAAATGGTTTTTATTTTGCATGGAACTGTGCCAATGCTTCTTGCTGGTTTGCTCTTCAGAATACTGGAAATGTAACAATCCATCTTTTTTACTGTGATAATTCTGAAATGCTTGGTTCTCACAGTAACAATGTCACATTCATAATGGCAAATGGTGTTTTGTCTGAGACCATCCTACCTAAGTGGAACATCTCTACAATGTGCAAATAACCTGAAATTATCAACTCCAAGTTAAGGTTTCCCATTTTGCTCTGTTTCCATGGAACAAATGCATCCAAGGCCTGGTATCTTACCCATTTCCTCTTGCTTTTCATTATGAGTCTCAGAGATGCTTCTTCCTTCTTTAACAATCATCAAAATCTGTTGAAGCTGTGCTTGTGTTAAACACACCAAACTTTTTAAGTCTTCAGCTGATACATGTGGGGCTTGAGGTTTGTGTTTAGTTTTTTTCACAGTACTAGGATCCTCTGAATCAGGATATCTGTTTGTCTTATCTCTTTGGAAAATCAAAGAGTAACTTTTAGTTGTGGCTTCATGCGAGGAGTGTTTATTAACTTGCAGTTTTTCACCTTTTGTCATTGATAAACTTGATTCACTCCTTGGTTTTGTTAAATTTTCCTGCTTGATACAAGCATTTTGTGTTGGCCTCAAGATGAGTCCAGTGTGCTTTATTCTCAATGCCTGTTTGGGTGCTCTGGCTTTATTACCCATCTGTTAAAGCAAAAAGATTTCACCATCTATTAAATAAGGGGAAAAACTGTATTTGTAACAAATGAAAACAAGATTGAAGCAATAAAGAAAATAAGTGTCATTTTTCTTTTCTGTTCCATCAGTAGTAACTCTGTATAAGCTAATGAAACATCTTCACAAGTACCAGGAAAACTTTGGAAGAGGACACAGCACCTGAATTTGAGTATTTCAAAATGACAGTATGAATAATAACTTAATGTAGCCTGACATTTAAAAGAATTAACAAGCATTAATTCTGCTTTACTTCGGTGTTTCTGAATGGGAACAGGTGTTTCCTGGCCCCACACAGGTACATGTTTTCATCACACAGCCAGCAGTATTTCAGTCCTCATTCTGCCACTCTGAACTAAGTTTCATTCTTTCCAAGGTCTTTGGTGCAAACTTGTAATTATTTCCTGTCTGTTGGGACCTTTTCCTGCTCTTTATCCTTCCCAAACCCACCCCATTGCAGTTTACTCAGAGACAGCCTGTATGACCAAACTTGAAATTAAACACACTTCAGATCTTTATTTTACCAGAATTCCTTTAAGGGCACTGAAAGTTCTGATTTAGATGAGTATTCCCTCCGCTGCTCTAACTCTTGGCCAAGGAAACTAATGCATTTTGAAAGGTAAAAATAGTCACAAAACTTTGTATTCATCCTTTTGAACAGCTATTATAAACCTGAGAAATAACAGAATATCTCAAGTTACAAGAGACTCATAAGCACATATTTCTCTTTCATAAATACAATTGTTTCCAAGTATTTATACAGTTCAATTTCTCAAATTTTCTGTTAACAAATAGCAAATTTGTGTGTTCTAAAAATTTTACACTTACCTTCATGGCAGGCTTTGATTTATCTTTTGGGAAACAAACACAAACATATGAAAGTATTTAATAACAACTTGTCCCTGAAAAACAATCTTGAGAAATTAGTAAAACATTATATTCATCTGATTTTTGTAAATCAGGGGGAAAATACTTTTCCCATGCTATCTGCCCTGACTATGCAGAACAGTTAGGAAAATAGACTTGTACAGAAATGTATGTCTGACAAAGTTGGAATTTATTGCAGAGACATATGTCTGACAAATCACAGAAATAGAATTTATTGACACTTATACTGGAAAATAATTATCTCAGATGGTAGTAGTGAGATTTAGCCTAAATAAACTGCTTACTGAAATTTAAAAATGTTTACCACAAATACTGAAGCTGCCTTAAAAACATGATTGTAATGATGTCATGCTGTGTAAATTAAGGTGTTATTAAGCCTCTTTTATCCTGGCAAGTAACCTGCTATAAAGTTACAGGAATTACCATCAAGTTATGCCAGTTGATACACAATAGCACTTAACTTTTTATTTTAATGCCAAGCTAAGCAGTGGGGACTGTTTGCCAGCTGTTCCCTGGTGCACAGACTATTCACAATTCATCATCAACCTACTGCTGAGAATCGAGCTGCTGAGAGAGAGGACTTATAAATAACAATGCACAAACATGCTTCCTAAACTCAAAAATATTTCAGGAAGGCTGGGCTTTATGTCTCTTGGATATTAGGTTTAACTTCAAGAAGCTTTAAAGATTAAATTTAAAAAAATACCAGAAGAAGCTAAAATTAGCCTAGGCTTTCCATCCAGCACTTCAGTTTCGAGCTTCAGTCCATCGCTGCAAAACGAGAGAGAGAGAGAGGAATCTGAAATATGAAGTAATCTGATCATGGTAAGAATTGAACATTCATAACAAGAACAATTACTGTTATTCCAGATGGTCCTTCACATCCCAAGCCATGTTTTGAGAAGTTACTTATAACAAAGAAATCAGCATGTCTTGAAGAAGATGTAGTTTTATTGATACTGAAAAAACGACTACAGCTTTGCTTGTTGCAAAGTAGATCTTTAACACTAAAGGTGCCACTCTATATCGTTATACAGTGCAATACACCTCAAGAATTGAACGATCCAACAATATAAATCACAAATCGCTAACCAAGCCTCCCGGAAGGCCAGCGCTGATCACAAAGCAGGGCTGCATTCTGGAAAGAACCTTTGGTTGTGCTTCCATGCACAACAATTCACCTTTGCAAGCGGAACAAGCGCTGTTAGAAGCGTTTGGGAGCATTGAAAAACGTGGCAGTGTCAATTCCCAGCTGCCTTCCTTTGCTCCGTGCGCTGGGACAGTCCGACGTGACCATAAGCGCTCCAAATACCGCTTTATCCTCCCATTTCATTATAAAACGTTAACAACGAAAAAACCCAGCGCAG